CAGGGCCTGTTGTGACAGGACAAGGGGGAATGGCTTTAAACTAAAGGGGGGGTAGATTTAGACTACATATAAGGAAATTTTTTACACTGAAGGGTGTGAAGCACTGGCACAGGTTGCCCAGAGAGGTGGTAGATGCCCCATCCCTGGAAACATTCAAGGTGAGGTTGGACGGGGCTCTGAGCAACCTGATCTAGTTGAAGATGTCTCTGCCCACAGCAGGGGGTTTGGACTAGATGACCTTTAGAGGTTCCTTCCAACCCAAACTATTCTATGATTCTATGATTTGCAGCTATAAACTGCGTTGGTGATGGCTCTTTCTAAGTATTTTAATGAACTCTAAAAGCCAAGACTTTGGAAGGAAATGCAGCTTGTCTGTGAGGATGTACCTCACTGTGAGGGAAGGTGTCAGGCATGAAGTAGACGGTGCTGAGAAACTGCTTCTGTAATCATTGTTATTTTGAATGCCAGCGTAGGAGTATGTTTTGATGAGCCTTGCAAATGTTAAATGAGATGTGTCCATGTTAATCATTGTAAGCTCTGTTCTCAGACCATGTTGAGTGGTGGACAATAGTAGCTGAACGAACAAATGCCTTCTTCGTATGTCTTTCTTGAATCCTTTCTCCACTAGATTTTATTAATGTCAGTAAAAGTTTGTAAGTCTCTGCGAAGAGGCGATCTGTCCCAAAGGAGTGCTCTTGTCCCAGAGTTGTTTTCTATGTCTGCTTTAGGGGAATGTTGCTGGGGATGATTTTCTCTTGTGCTTGTGCTAGGCAGGGGAACATGAGGAAGCTGAGGAACTTGTCCTGTCCCCTGTCCCGTTGTGAAGCAGCAGTAGAGTGGCTCAGTTATAGTGCCACAGCTGGCCCTCAGCAGTGGCAGCTCCTTCCAGGGAGAACCAAGTAATCACTACAGTGGCAGCTCCTGCTAATTGCTGGTAAAGTGTTTTCAGCCTTTAACTAGAGAATCATGCTTTGGATTGTTGGTAATCATGAGGAAATATGTCTTTGTTCAACTGTTACATATAAAACTAAAAAAAGCTAGCAATGGTCTGAATTATCAGCCTTTTCACCTCTCTATAACTAGTTTTCAATCATACTCAGTTGTTTCTGTAATGGGGAACCAAGAGGAAAAATAAAGTGTAAAAGGATGTACAGCTTCAGGCTCTCTTTACCCTGCACAAAAAGGGTTCTAACTCTTTTAGCTTAGCTTTGTATTTCAGACCTTCCAGACAATAGCTATTGCTCAGTGACTTGACCTCCAGAAAGCTTGACTAGCCCTGTCTAGTGCCAGTACTTCTAGTGCTTTTTCCATGCTAAGCTTGACACCATTAAGAGGACAGGTCACTTGCCAGGACGTCCTGTTTCTCAGCTGGTTGCTCTTGTAGGCTCTGGATTGCAACAGTCTTGAGTATTTGCAGACTCTCAATAAAATTCCTCTGGCACTAGACTTGAAATGTAATTTAAAGATGTGACTAGCCACATTTTATGTTGCTTAGAGTTTTTATGCTGTTATTAGTTTAATGATATTAAACAAAACAAGTTGATGCTTTGCAAAAACAGCTCAGCTTTGGCAGAAACTGAGGGCCATAATTTGTTGAGCTGGGGTTTCACTGGATGACACAATGTTTTTATAGATGTCTTAGGCAGCCTATGAATATTTAAGGTTTGTTTATTTTCTGTCCTTGTGATACTGTTTTTTTTTTCCCCTAGATAAGCAACGTCTTGTTTTTTGTTTTACCACCCATATGTATGTGCTTGTTCCGTCAATACGCAACCTGCTTCAACAGTGGAATATATTTAATATGGACTCTGCTAGTTGTGGTTGGTAAGTTGGTTCGTCTCTGTTTGCCTGCTTATGTATGAACTGAGAGAGGAAATCAGTTTTTCCTGTTTGTGCTTGATTGTTTTGCAAAACAAAGCAATCCTGACATCTACGGAGGTGTTTGCTTGTACTTGCTTGAAGCTGAAGCAGCCGTAGTTTCTGAAAGGAAAATGCCTTTTGCAATTTGAGGTTGGTGGGAACTTCGGCCTTAGTTCTGTTCCCTTCCTAGCGTTCCTTTGCATAACTTCTTTTGTTTACGTCTGGGCTTACTCTACAGTAGTGCTGACCCTCCTTCCACTGTTGTTGTTGCTTAAATGAGAGCTGAAAGTGCCCAGCACAACTGAAGAGGATAACAGGTTTTGCATTGTAGTGACAAGGCCCAAAGGCTTAGCTATTTTGTAGATGTGAGATTCTTAAGCTTTTTCATTCCTGGAGGGCCTGGGAACTTTTAAAGGGATAATCAGAGCCCTGTGGGGCAGTGTGACACTTTCCACCTGTAAACCTATATCATAGAGTAGTCATCAGATGCTGCTTTTCATCTTTGTCTTACCCATTCTTGTGCTATTGAGAAAATTCAGAAACAGCATTTGGTTTTGCATTTAACTTTAGCACGTGATTTTTTTCACATATATCTACTTTTCTAGTAGGAGCTGGCATCTTTAGCTGCTGCTTTTGTAATGTGTTTGCTTCGTAATTAATGAGGTGCTGATGATTTGGATTGCCTTCTTAGAAAAGTTGGCGTTTGTTTTCCGGTTTTCTTTTTTATAACCTTTTCTAGACTAAATGGTATCCGCCATTTGCTATGAGGTTCTGAACATGAGCAGTGTGTTTTGGTCTATACAGTACTGCAATTATTCATACTGCCTTTTGATTGATTCTTCCAGGCATTGGATCTGTTTACTTTCACGCCACCCTTAGTTTCCTGGGCCAGATGCTAGATGAGCTGGCTATTCTCTGGGTCCTGATGTGTGCTCTTGCCATGTGGTTCCCTAGGAGATACCTGCCCAGAGTTTTTCGGAATGACAGGTAATCATAAAATCATACATGTACATTTTCATGTTTCTTGAAACTTGTTATGCTAACACCTAAACCTGCATGTAATGGCACTGAGTTATCATCCAGCCTTGCCACTGCCACCGCTATCTTTTCTCACTCCATTCTCTTCCTGTTGCTTGTATCTCAGCCCATTTTGTTCAGAATTCCTGAGGGTGCAGTTGCTGATGGTGGGATTTACACCCTGTATCTTCAGTTCTTGGGATGAGGTGTCTTGCCTCTGGAAGTACCTGTTCTTGTTGATTCTAGGGAGACCTTTACATGAGTAGTTTACGTAAGTTGTGGCTGAAGTAAAGTAAGAGAAACCCTCTTTCATTCTTCCTTTTGTATATCCTAAAGTGTACATAGAAGTGGACCTATGGAAGTCAGATGAATTTTCATCTGAATATTTAAGGCAGTGGTTAAGGATGGTGTTTAAGTATTCAAAAGCTAAGTATTTGTTTAGAAGCCTACTGTTGTTGTAAAAGGATTTTTTTTTTCTTGCAGGATTAAAAAAAGTGCATTGTAGCCAGTTTAAAGAATCTGGTTGTGGTTTGTCCCCCCGTAAAAAAATTGTGCTGTAATCTTTGTATATATTGCTCTTTTATGCAGTAAAGAAGTTGAGGTAATGGAGAGGTTTGAATTACAGCACCGATGTTCTTCTCTCCGAAAATTGCGAAGGCTGCTGCCTCTTGCCTCCTTATATTGTTACTGCCTGTGGGTTTTTTGTGGTTTTTTTTCCTTGACATGTGCATGATTAGAAATTGCTGGGGGGGGGAGGGGAGAGAAGGTTGGTGCCTACATCGACCATTCCTCAAAATAGCTTGCAGTGAGAAAAGTGTATCTTGAATTACCATGTACAGTCTATGCAGTCTAATGGCTTTGTCATGTTCGTGTGAATTTAGTACTTCTGCATATTGCTGCTACAATACAAGCACACAGTGCTGCTACAGGACACCATCAACTTAACAAGCAAACAGGTTCTACTGGGGTGTTTTGGTCGACGACATGACTTTTGGACATTTAGTTCAAGTGAAGAAGAGTTCAGAGCCTTGAAAAATTTCTGTGACTGCATGTAAATTATTCCTTAGAAGCCTAAGGGGATTGTTACATGTCATCTATCACTATCTTCTGATAGTGTGCTGGGTAGGTTCATAGTATGGGCCAAGAGGTTAAGCTGTATCCTTTTTAAAAGGAATAGTAACAATTTTTGGGTGAAATCCTGTTTCTATTGAACTTGGTGTTAAAACTATAAATAATAATCTCCCAGGTTATAACTGATTCATAAAAATACTGAGATGAGGTGAAGGATGTCCCCTATCTTAAATTTCTCAGAACACTTCTTCCTGAGAATCTGTCAAGTTACGTGTTAAGGTCTTGATTCCTTTCTGAAGTGTACAGAAGAAAGACATACTGGGCAACAAACCCTAACCCACAACAGGTTTGGTTTATCTTTTTGTTTTTTTGCTTTGCATAGCTAATCCTCTAATATTATATCTATCCTGTGCACACTACTGTGGTCTTCACTTTCTTCATCCTCATCACATTCTGGATTTTCAATGCTGCAAATGTTTTTGTCTACCATGACCAATTGTGGTGTCTTTAGTCATTAAGGCATTCACATCAGATCAGAACTTCCTACTTAAGTAACTTATTGCCTTCCAGCAGAAAGAAAAACTTTAAAGCAAAAGGCAGATGGAATGAGCTAGTGAAGGTGAAGGTGATGACACTTGTGGCCAGGGAATGGTGCTGCACAAGTATACTGAGACCCTACTTCAGACATAGAATTAAAGACAGAAGAGCCGTCCTTGGACAGCAACTAGTTTTGTAAAGCTATGGGCAATAGTTGAAGGGCAGCCTGATGATCCTCTGTCTGGCATAGTCCTGCCACAGACTGGAAATGGGTTGTTTAAAGTCCAAACTTGAAGTTTAAACAACAGTTAACATATATTTAATTTAAAAGTTGTCAGGCTGTCTATATAGGCCCCAATTGTGATTTCATTTATGCTAAGAATATACCAAACTGTAATCTTTAAAAAGTGTGGGAATCCCTCACCTACTGTTGAATTTGGTTAAAAGAAATGTTCTTGCTTACCTTGTCGTTTTCAGTATCTGTAAGGCTTAAAAGAGATAAGGGAAAATAAAACAGACTGTAACATGACTCTAGAAGTTGGGGAATTCATGGTAGCAATATATTCTAAAAATCCATGTTAAAAGCATGAAGAATGATGACACAACACAGCTTTGAGGAAGTACAGTGCTGTGTGCAGAGGTGGACTTGTTCCTGACTTATTGTGGGAGGAAGAAGATCGGAGTGTGGCCTTTGGATTTTGAAACCAGTGATTAGTGTGTGTGTGCATGTGTATGTATACATATACATGGCTGTTTCAGGAGACCACAGTCCAGCAAAGATTTGTGTATGTAATTAACTCTGCATGCACATGCAAATCTGTGCAAGATCCACATCCATTTTATGCACATTGTCATTGCACCTCCTGAACACACCTAGAGAAACCTAAATTTTGTTACATTATTAAAATAATTTTAAGTTCTGGCTTTAGTAATTAAAAGTTTTGAATTAAAAGCTGTTTTTCTCCCCCCAAAAAAACTATTCAGGAGCCGATTTAAAGCTGCCGTGGGTGTCCTGTCTGGAGTTACTACCTGCCTCGCCTTCATTAAGCCTGCCATCAACAACATCTCACTAATGACTCTGGGTGTTCCCTGCACAGCTTTGCTCATTGCTGAGTTGAAGAGGTGAGTACATTTCTCCTGAATGCAGCGTTGCCTTCTGAGATCCTTAGGCCACTGTGTGGTGGTGATACACTAGATCTGGCTTCAGTGCTTGTGATAGCAGATCAGAAATGCTTCTCCCACATGCAAGTGTGGATCTGGTATAAACTTGCTCTGCCAGTTCAGACATTTTTGGCAAGGATTTTTTTTTTTTCCCTAGGCCATTATAAGGTCAGATACTGTCTGTCTTCTTGCGACATATCTCTTGCTGCAACCTGATCTAAGTCAAATTTGTTTGTTTATTGTGGAATCAGGGCAAGGGTTTCACTCTACTGACAACTTATATTCTGCATAAGGGTGAGGTGATCTCATGATCACAGTCTGGGTACTAGAGGGAATGTGGAGCAAGGCCCAAGCACGCATGGAAGATGTTCCAGCTCTCAAAGTTGTACTGTGAGTCTTACACCACTTTGTCTTCGGACGTGGATAATATGATGGAGCAAGACTGACAAAGGTGAGGTTAATCACTAGGCTGTAGAGGATAGCTATCAGTCAGGGCCTTAGAAACTATAAAACCAGAATGCAAATAAAGAAGAACCTGAGGCTGATCTTAACATTTTAAAGAGTCGTACTATGATAACGATACCAGCAGCTGTCCAGAGACTTTTTTTTTTGCACCTCTTCACCCACTGCAAAAAGGACCAGATGAGTACCAGCATATGAACTTGTCCTTTCCCCTCTTCTCCAGTGTCTGAGAAGGATTTTACAACTTATGTTGGCTCTTACATATTGCATTTGTAAATGTCCATCAAAAACAAGAGTAGGACCAAATGTCTGCATTCTGACTGCTCCTGTTAGGACAGAGATTCTCCTGTTTGCTACCTTACCCTATTCTGCCGCTGCTTCTCCATACAGTGGAAGCCTCTGCTAACAATGTTTTGTAAAGGTGTTCATGAGCCTTTTCTCATTAGACATCCTGCTGAGCAGCATTTATTTCTGTGGTCAAAGAAACTCGGTAAACAGGAAGAAAATTAACTCTATCCCAGACGAAACCAGGACAGCAAATTAGTTGTAGACGAGAAGGTTGGTAGTTGAAGAATGTTGGTGGAGGTGTCTCATTTTGATGAAAGCACCAAGGAACTACTGACAGGGCAAATGAAGATCTGATTGTGGCACTGAATAATTTATGTGAACTCTCTACGTATCAGTTTTCCAGGCATGAGCTCCTGAGAAACTTTAAAGGACAAATAGTTAGTGTCTCATAAGTTTGAATACTATTGTGTCAAAACTAGGAATTGGTATGCCTACAAATATTTGCTTTTTAAAACTCCTTCTGAAAGGTCATATCTTATTAAAATGTGTGGAGTTTCCCTGTCTGTTTTTTGAGAGAGAATTAAGGACGCAGATAAACTTTCTTTTAAATTGGTGATTAAAAAGGGACCTAAAGTGACATATGGCCCTCTTAATTGTGCATTGGGATGATGCAATACCTATGATATTTTTTGATGAATTCCTAAGTGTAAAAGGCAAATAATTAAAGGTTTTATTTTAAGCTATGCTGATCTCTAGGAGATTTAAATTAGATACATTCTTGTAAACCCAGAGGAGAGGAGTCATCTCATCCCTTTTTGCAGGAGAAAAAATAATCTAAGCAGTATTTAAAATGCCTGTGGTTCTCCCATTCTCTACTACCACGGTCAGTAGGGGGCTACTCGTCTGAGTCCTGGCAGTCTGCAGTGGAAATTTGTCTGTGAAACGGGTATTTGGGGAAGGAAGGAGAAGAGCCTCCAGAGTAGTTTCTTCTGTTCCGTGCTGAAGTTTGTGATGTGTTAGACCAAAACTCCCTGTTGTTATTCCTGTTTTAGGCTGGTCTCAATCTTGTACAGAATTCTGGTGAATCAGAACCACTGTTTTTTCAAATGAGAATTTTCTGCCTCTCGTTTGTCCTTGATGAGGAGATAATACTGTCACAAAAGAGCATTATGTTCTTAAATGCGGAGCTGGTAGGGTAGAGTGTATGCTAGGAAGTATTGTGGGCAGGAGATGATCAAAAGAGCAAAAGGTAGTAAGTGCATACTTGTCCTTGAAAGGTAAAGAAATTGTAAAACTTTATTCTCATTTCTGTCCAAACAAATCCCTTCATGTGTTTCATAAAAAAAGAAAAGCTCTCCTAGGGGATGGTATCAGGGAGAAAGTGGATGTGGATCCTTTGGTTTGCTCGTCCAAACAAAATAACCATTGAGATTATAATGTCATCAAATTAGTATGATTTAGTGAGTCATCATCAGGCACGTAACTATCTCCATGTGCAGATAGATGCTAGAATACTGTTGCTTAGCTGACATCTGAGCCTTGAGCAGTGAAGGTTTACCCTAGCTTCAGGGCTATCCGTTCATATTTGATCCTCCTACTAGAAACCTGGCTGTGGGGGAGCTCTGCTTCACTGTTGCAGGTGGCTCACGGTTCCCTTATTCCCTTGACTAAAAGGTTAAGCTAGTTAAAAGTTTAAAATATTCCTTAGGCTATAAAGGGAGTTACCGGTGTCAAAATGAATCAAGCAGTTAGTCGACATCCAGCAGCTTGCACTGGTTTGAAGAAAATCTGGTGTGTTTTGTTGGGGGTGCCATGACATTGGAAGATAAAGCTGCTGGAAGTGCATACCAGCCCAGTCCCTCAGGTAGCAAATGGCTGGGGCACACCAGTGTTTGCAGAAACTCTGGTATTTAAATAACTGCTGTTTGTGTTTAACCGAAAACACCATGCATTGTATAGGCAAAAGGTACAAATGGAAATGCGAGCTTTGTGGGGTCCAATTTCTTTCAGACTAGAGTAAGGTAGGAGCATGTCACAGATCTGTGCACAGCAGCATGAACTGCTCTTTTAGACCCTCAGCTGACAGGTTCTGTTTCAGTGGTAGCTTGAATGATCAGTGCCTGTGTCTATTGAGAAATAAAAGAAATGGGTTGGGTCCATGTCTCTTGCCAGCATCCAGGTGGTATTTGCATTACATCTCATTGTGGTAAAAGCAGCGGCAGGTAGGAAGCTTTGCAGTCACCTGTCTCCTCAGCAAGCATGTCCTCAGCCCATCTGAAGCAGAGTCATTGCAGGAACTGAAAATTCTATGATGCGTGGTCACAGAAAACCCAGGAGTATTGCACAGATCAGCAGACTGTACTCTCCTCATTGTGCTTGACTCTTTCTGCCTTAGAGTAGTCTTCTGCAGTACACCCTGCAGCATCTAGTCTTAAGTTTATAAAAATAAATTGCAGTACCTGATGGTGGTACTGAGCAAACCTGTCATTACAATCTGTACCATTTCTATGGCTGATCTTGCGTTGGGAAAGTTTCTTCAAGTAAGCTTTCAGTTTTCCTTTGCAGCCCTGAACTCTTTGAACCATGCAGGTTAATTGTCCTCTCCTCTTGCTATTCAAACTAGTCAGATATTGACAGGCATGGTCACTGACTAAAGGAGCTGGATGTTTGAGGCCAAGCCTCTTACATGAAATTGGATGCAGTTGCACGTGTTTGTTTATGTCCTTCAGACAAGTCCAGGAAAGCCTCCGTGTTCTCAATACACACACCCTTTCCTCTGTCAGAATGCACAAGTTCCCACTGCAGCAGTCTAGTTTTATCTGTCAGATGTACAAAATTGATCCATGCATGTATCCGCTTAGGTACACAGTTTAGCATCTTGCTCTTATGAACAGTTATGTGTCTCACTGAAGACTGTAAATCTGCCTTAGCATTAATGGGAGGGAATTAAGCCTGGTATGCTTAATACAGTGGTGTTTTTTGACCAATAATGATTTTCCCTCTTCTTTTATGAAGGGCTCCATGCTGTCTAGCCATTTGGTAGAAGCATGAATCCTCCAAAATGAGGAGGATTTACCAGTATAGTTTTACTGATAAAACTGCCAAACCTTGGATTTATTTCTTACTGGGGTGTCTCATAAAAGAGTGTAAGGAAGAATTAGTGTAGCTGCGCTCTGGAACTTGATAGGCAGCTCAAAAATCTCCTTACCCTTTCTCTTCTCCATGCTCCTTGTAGCCTTTTTAAATGTAAAGATGCTATTTTATAGAAACAAGCCTTTTTTACAGTATGCAGCACAGACAAACTTGAAGCCATCTTGGGCAAGCCCTGTCCCCTCTTACTGTGTCTTGGTGGTTTGCAAAATGGATTGGAGGATTCAGGCCTAAGAAAAAAGCCATTTTGGTTTATGTGCTAAGTGGAGTGTTAATTTTTGTGGCAGTCATGTAGGTGTTTTTGTTATGAAAACAATCATTGTGATATCTTTCTTGTGGAGGAGATGACAGTTTAGCTGGTAGTTGAAGCACTTTTTTGAATCATAAAGATAGGTGTGATGATTTTGAATGCAACATTAGTTATAGATGGCTTAAAAAAGAAAAGCCAGATCCTAAAACCAACTTGCGCAAAGGACACTGGAAAAAATCCTCTGTTAACAAGATTAGGCAGTTGGTAGCTTTTCTGTCATTAATCCAGTAGCTATAAAGGTGCCTTCTGCTCAGCCTTAGGAGTTTCTTAATCCCAAATGCCTGTTAAAATGTCCACTGAAATAGCATTCCAAGAGTGAAAAAAAAATCCTACAGGGAAAACTCCACTAATTCTTTAGCTTGCAATACACCAGAGGCAGGTATACTGCTGCTCCTGCAATACATTCAGAAAAGTGTTCCTGGACAGAGCACTCTGTGTATGTTTTTAATTTTTCTGAATGCTTAGCTAGGCTCCCTTAGCAAAGCTCTGGTACCAGTGGCAGTTCTGCTTTTCCACCACAGAGAGGCAGAAGTCATTCTCTGCCCCTGTCCTTCTCCAACTGAGTAGTTGGAGATCATCTCACGTGCAGGAGGGTGTAGTGACAAATATGAGCTTGGGGACAGAGCTGGCATTACTACTTCCCTGACAGTGAATGCAGGGTAGCCTGTGGCTTGTAGGCTGTGTATGGCCATGGAGACAATTAGCGGTAAATGTTGGAAAAATTAGAACCCTGTAAATGTATCGAATGAGAACAACAGTTTTTGGACTAAGAAGTATTTTGGGTGGAAGACAGAAGGACCAAAGAGCTTTTTGGGCTGTGCTGCACTGCACTGTTAGTCAGTTGTCAAGGACAGTCATGTATAAAGAAGATCACGAACCATAAATACCTCTGCAGTGCACACAGTAAAGACATGTTTGCCTATTCTAGCTCCGTCCTCCAGGGATACACATTTTAATTGCTTCTGAGTGTCACAAGGTGAAGTGTCCCTTTAAAGGACCTGTTTGCCAGGCATTGCTCACCTTCCAGATGCAGTGAATGAGCCCAAGAATTGTGTGGAAGAAGACTGGTGATTCAGTGTCAAGTCTACTGGTGTGACTGGGTTGAAGCAGAGAGAAAGGTTGGCTGGTGATCTGCTGGAGAGGAAGAGGCATGGAGACATTCCCAATAACTTTTTGGCAGAGGTGCAAGGCATAGAAGATGAGTGTGGATTAGAAGAGCCCCTCCTGAAGACCTTGGGACAGAGGAAGGGATTGTGGGGCATTTGGCATTGACTTTTTTTTCCTTCTAAGATGTAGAAGGAGAAGACAGGGGCCTGTAACCCTGATGAAGGCTGAATATTCCTTGTTATACTGGCTGGAGATTTGGCTTATTGGTTTACTCTTGAGATGTAGCTCAAACAAGTCACTTTAAACAAATTATTCTGTCATCTGATTAGTAAGTTTGGGAGTGCTTTTGGGAGGTCATATCAGTGACCTGAAAAGAGCAGTTCATTGAAGCAAGAATTGTCCAAGAGCACTGACCAGTTCTCGGATCCCTGGGAAATTCACCAAGAGTTTAACAACAAGAACAAAAAAAGGCAGGGGGGGAAATCCCAAATCATAGCTTTGTTCTTGCAGAAAGCAGGGGAGCTGAGCCGTGCCTTCTCTTGGCCACATAGGGCTGGTCATGTCCCAGTCTAGCTTTGCTTTATAGGTACCAGTAACAGCAGAGCTGCATCTACTGGCACCAAGAGGTCTGACCCCAAAATAGCAAGTGTAGGTAATTATTGACTTTAATAGCATTTTGGGACCTGAAGATTATGTTGATGCCTCCTTTTTCCAGATTCTACCCTTTTGAGCAAAGCTGCACAGTTGTTAGGATAGTTCCAAGATGTGGAAAAGAACAAAGCATCATATAGGGAAATAAAATTGTGAGCTTTTTATTAGACCTGCAACACAGGTAATGCTATGCAAGTATCCTGGCATCTGCTGTTGTATTCAGTGATGGTCAGCTGCAGACCACACTGCATGTGACAAAAGCAAATGTTTTGTGCTTTCTTTCTCTCTGGTGTACCTCTATATGAACAAGTCAGGTTTCTTGTGGAGGGAGAGAACTGCAGCTTAGTTAACATGAGGAATTCTGTCTGAGACGTGGATGCCTGCGCCATCTATTAAAGCGTGCTTCTTTGGGCCCTCTGGGTAGAGGCTCTTACCTTACAAGTTCTCTGGAACTGTTATAACTTGGGGAGGTGGAAATCAACTAACCAATTAAAAAAAACCTCATCCAGTTCCTTTTTTTACCGATCTTTATATAGTGACAAATACAAACAAATCTGAGCACTTGCTGTGTGGCTGGTTGTTACCAGACAGCATGCTTAACTAACCACTTGTTGTCCTAGATATCCCTCCCTAGATATGGGAATGCTTTCATGTTTGCCCACCATTTGCACATTGGTATTTAAGACAATACCCAAAACATAGCTACTGATTAAAAGGTTTGTTTTGTCACCTCACCACTGCCTTGCATCAGAGCCACATTTACGGTAAGTAAAGTTCTTCTGTCAAGGACATTTATGGTGGAGCTATTTCAAGGATGTGTGCCTGGCACTATGAATCTTACCCTAAAATACATACAGCCAAAAAGCATCAAGCTGCCATTACAAAGCAAATTTTGTTTTGTTTTATAACAACTTCTTTGTGTTTTTCTCCTCAGGTGTGAAAACCTGCGTGTGTACAAACTGGGTCTCTTTTCAGGTCTTTGGTGGATGCTAGCACTTTTCTGCTGGATCAGTGACAAAGTGTTTTGTGAGATCTGGTCCTCATTTAACTTCCCCTATTTGCACTGTGTATGGTAAGTGTTGTGTATAAACTCCACAGTTTGATTCAAATGTGATACGTCCTCACCACATTACCCTTCTGTGCTGCCTGGTGGCTATTTCTAGTTAGTGCTAGATAGAATTGCTGGTAAGATCATAAGCCCAGAGCAAGTCTCACGCTATCCAAGGTGGCAGATTTAGGAGTTTCTTTGGCCTGATCAGATTCTTCAGACGCTAAGTTCATTAATTGTAACTGGATTCCTTGCCCTACTGGTTACTAAAAATCCCACAGCACTGCTCAGCTGAAGTAGTCACTGTGAAAGCTTAAACTTCCACTGTTAACAACTGAGGGTGAAGTGCAGGAGTAGTGAAGGACTTTAATGCCTTTTCTCTTTTACCACCAAGCAAATTGTGCTCTCGTATTCAGGGTGCCATATCTCAGCATTTCTACACAAATATGTCAGGTGCAGAGAGGCCAAAAAGCTGCAGCCAGTTTAGACCAAGGATAAGCTACGGTTTTGTAGTTTTCCTTATTCTCTGTATTCTTTGTCTGCATGCAGAGGGCAGACAGCAACCCTGTGGGGGACTCAGGGGAAGAAGGTGAAGGACAGACTGATTTTAAAGCATGGTGATATAGTTGATTGCTTTACTGAAGTCATGTTACTGATTTTTTTCTCTTTTTTTGGGGGGTGGGGTGGGTGTCTATTCTTAGGCACATTTTGATTTGCCTTGCGGCGTACCTGGGCTGTGTCTGCTTTGCTTACTTCGATGCTGCCTCTGAGATCCCCGAGCAGGGCCCTGTCATAAAGTTCTGGCCCAGTGAAAGATGGGCGTTCATTGGGGTTCCATACGTCACCCTCCTCTGCGCACACAAGAAATCACCTGTGAAGATCACGTGAAGTTGGCCATGGAATGGGGATGGAGTTTCAACTTACATTCCAACACAGACAGTATTTAAATAATGATAAACAAATAGGGTTGTATTTTATCTTCTTCCTAAGATATGCAGCACGTCAGGTGTCACAGAAAGAGGAGGCAAGTGTGTTCTTTCCTCTCTCTGGAGAAGGGAGAGCAAGTAGGAAGGGGGAGGCACTTTAACACTAAAGTAACCACTAGCTTCTCTGGTTGGCTTTGTTTTGCACTGTGTTTTCAATGTAGCATTTCTCTTGATAAAAGCTCTTTCCAAATACCAGGGTCAAGGAATGATGTTTCTGCAGTAGGTCAACTCTGGTGCTCGATTCACTTCTTTTGTGACTTCTGGCTTAAGGCCTTTGTTGCGAAAGAAGCCAGTCCAAGATGCCTACATGCCATCCTGTGTCCTTCTTAGCTCTGATTTTGATGTGTTTGCACATGGCCACAAGAGTGTGCTCGAAGCACGTGCTCCTCCCAGCCTGGTGTGTAACACAGGGAGTCCGGCTGTGCATCACATTGGGTCACGGAGTATGTGGTTGCTTCCCCAAGTACAACAGGAGACCAGTGCAAAGTGTTTGTAACTGGGTAACTGGATCAGTGCAGTTAGGCAGTGTAAATGCAGGAATAGCTGACAGAAGATTCAGTCCCCAAAACTAAATAGGAGTTCAAGGGATTTGAATTTTTCTGTATTTCCACTGACCTGTGGACATTTGTATGCTGCATATTTCCCTCTTAAAAAATGGCACAGAAATCCCTCTCTACCTCTGGAGACACGTTTGGTCTTGAATTTGGCGTTGAAGCTCACACAGAAGTGTGAATATTAACTTCAGTAAGAGCTCAGGTCAACATAGATTGACAGTGTGATTAAACTATAAAAACTCGTAGGTGCCTAGCTGTACGTCTAATTTGAGAGTTAACTTCTCACCAATGCATTGCAAAGTGACATGAACAATAGTCCAGTACTCTGCTAGTTATACTTAGGAAAAAAGTAGATAACCACTTAGAAACCAAGCAGAAGACTTAGATTTCAGTGAGCAATGAAATGTGACATTGAGTCTTGCATTCTTACAAAAGAATCGTAGATTGAAATTTTCTGTTTGTTTTCAGCCTGTTTTGTAAAGATAAAGGATGTCTAGATCCATTTAGTTTTAAGGTTATATACTTTGGGGTTGAGATTCAGGAATGGCTATGGTTCTTGCAAGCAATTTGTACTAGGTCTGTTTAAAAAATGATGCAAAGTGCAGGCATGTTTTTCAAATATTAGCAATTGTAGCTGCTAATAGCTGCAGTCTTGGAGAAAGTAGGGTCTGTGTACATTCCACCTAATATCAGAATTGTAATACTTAGGAAAAGTAGATAACCACTTAGAAACCAAGCAGAAGACTTAGATTTCAGTGAGCAATGAAATGTGACATTGAGTCTTGCATTCTTACAAAAGAATCGTAGATTGAAATTTTCTGTTTGTTTTCAGCCTGTTTTGTAAAGATAAAGGATGTCTAGATCCATTTAGTTTTAAGGTTATATACTTTGGGGTTGAGATTCAGGAATGGCTATGGTTCTTGCAAGCAATTTGTACTAGGTCTGTTTAAAAAATGATGCAAAGTGCAGGCATGTTTTTCAAATATTAGCAATTGTAGCTGCTAATAGCTGCAGTCTTGGAGAAAGTAGGGTCTGTGTACATTCCACCTAATATCAGAATTGTAAGTGCATTAAGGCTTTGGATGTATACTTTTATTAAAGTGATACTTCCTTTTTGAATATTAGACTAGGAAATACCATTTCCTCTGTGCTTTGCTGAGAAGTCTCATGTTGTACTTGTTTTTTATCAATGTGAAAATTTATATACAGTATCATCTTTAGGAAAGTGGCTTTTAACAAGAACTTTGGGGTGAATTAACTTTCAAGCACTGTAAAACCTTTCAGATAACTTTTGTATTGAAATTTATGCTTAGAAAACAAGAGCTAAGGTGTATGCTGTTACACTTAGAGCAAAGTTGTTAGTGGGAGATATTACTGTTGTCTTGAGAACTTCAAAGCGGGTAAGTAGCCTACTGTCAGATTGACTGACAGATCATAAAAGTAGCAAAATCTGTCCAGTGGAACAATGCAAATTTATACCACTTGATAGTAGATTTGTCTAAGAGAAACTTGTTTTATGGACAGACAGTCATATAATTTTTGTATGAAACTTGTTTGTAAAAATTCATACAGTAATGTTTGTTACTCTTTGAAACACATCTGCTTTTTCCTTTTCTCTCCTCTCTCCCTAATAATGAAATGCTCAGTTTCAAACACTTCTCAGGTATTAAAAGTCATGTGATTAGATCCTTATTACAGATAGGCTTGCTGGCTGGAACCCAGCTAAGGTTGCTGATGCCTGACATGGCCCTACTTTGAGTAAGATTTTTTGATATTGTTTGCTAAATTATTATGTTATGGTAAATAAGTTATTTTCAGTATTGCTTGCGAAATTAGTAACTGCAGACATAATGTACTGTTCAAAATGACTGGAGCCTTCCTACTTCATATTTTGTTTGAAAGCAACCTCTGACTCAAAGGGCTCTAATCAACCTGCTGTCAACTGCTGTGTTCTGCTCTGCAGAGTCTGACTGCTCACAAAGAAGTAATTTTATAATTTAAAAAATGGTAGTAGTGCATTCAGCTATTGCAGAGGTGAATGCATGCAGGCACAGGCCAAGAATCATCTCCTTTATTTTTATTAACTAACCTCTAGCCTTCATACTCTTCATAGGAGATTCTGTGAACAAAGATCACTATCTGATATTCAAAGCTCCACTGTAGAACTGGTTGGGATTATTCCACTGTAACAGCAGCCCACCACTTTTAGATGTAGCTACTGCACTTTACATTAAATTAATATTAACTTATATGTTCTGACAAAAGCTACATTTATTTCAAAAAAGAAAAAACATGCCGTTTTTACCAGATTCACAGCTTCACAGATTGCACTTTGGACTAAGGCTCCAGTTCACGATAACATTAGTACCCAAAGAAGTATGTGATTGGCATACAGAGGGGTTTGTGCACTGCCATGATCATACAGATGAATAGACTTGTGCACAAATAGCCGTATTATGTTGGAGTATAAAGTGATGTATATGCACCCTCAGGTTTTAAAGCCCCAGAATGCTTTCTTCCCTTGCAGGCAGGAAGTGAGTGGGTTCCTAGTCCTTAGGTTCAATTAGTATTTTAGTTTAATTAGTGGGATGCAATAGTGTGTTGAGCATAATGTAGATTCTGTATATTGGCGTGTGATATCCATCATTCCTTGAATGTTAAACTTCAGGTTATTTAAGAAAGGATGTTTAGCTCTCAGTGATGGCAAACACTTGCCCAATTCACAGTCACTAAAAACTCAATAAATAGCATGTAAGGAGTGGTGTTGGGGTTTTTTTTTCCCATCTCCCTTGAAGTCTGTATACTGAATGTTTGTGGAAAGCATGTAATACTTTGCAACATTAAATTGCATTTGGAATAAATATTGTTTGCCTTTTCATACATCGTGTTTGTGGAGAATGCAGCTGCCAGTATAGTAAGGATGACTTCTCTCTCACACAAGTAACAGCAGTTCTGACTGTTAGAGGAGGAGGGAGACTGCATTAGATAGAAGACCATTAGTTAATGAGATAAAGATTACTTTGCTGAGCAAACTGATTTTTTGCAAGTAGAGAAAATACTCGGAAAACTGCAAGCCCATGAAGCAACAGGGACAAGTAGCAAGAAATGGCTAAAAATGAGTGGCCTGTATTTCCACAAATCCAGAAAACTAGGTCGGAGTACGTCTGGGAGAGCAAAGTGTGAATCTTCAGTATTTGTTACCGAAGACTGTGCTCCCAATTTAGGGAGGGAGATTATGGCTGTATGTAGTAGCCTTGCACATGCTCCTCCCCTCCTACTTCCCTTTTACCGCAGTTCCTCTTGCTGCACGTAAAAGACCTTCTTCGAGACATTTGTGGATCCCCATAAGCCAATGTGATCAGGCTTGAAATAACTTGTGTGAAAGCATAGCTATAATTCAAGAATGTGACTCACTCAGAGTTAATATCTGTAGTTGGCAAGATGTCAAAACCAGCTGGTTTTGGCTCATATATTGTCCTGTCACTCAGCCTGCCCTGGAGATTATTGACATGGTTTCCCATGGAAACAAGGGGAACATCATCGTACCCCTGCATTTCTCTGATAACTTCAGAGCTCCTGGCTTATTTTGACCAAATCTGACAGAGACAAGAGCTGTAGAGATAATTTCCTACAAGCTGTGCAAGACAGATGGTCAGGTAGAGAAGCCACACCTCTGAGACAAGCTGTCTCAAGAACCATGTTGTTAAAATAACAGAGAACTTACCCAGGAAGGAAACCAAAGCAATGCTCAAGTTCTGGATGGGCTTTGACTGTGGCTCGTACCAGCTGCAGCATCAGGAGCCAATTACACATGGAAGGAGTTTCACAGGTTTCTGTTCCAGAGATGGAGGAATTACTTTGCTGTAACATACACAAACCTGCCTTTTTCTCCAAACTCAGGAGGCAGAAACTTCCCCAAGAGGGGCAATTGGAAATCTTGTATCACCATACACCTGGCTGTCAGCTAAACACAGTGCAAGCTGAGAAAGACTGAAGTTTGAAGGAGGTGACTTCTGTGCCCACAAACTCAGGAACCATAAAAAACTGTTTGTAAACTCCCAGCATATAGTGAGGAGGTGAGTAGGAGTTTGTCAAGAGCAAGTTGTGTCTGCCTAATTTAGTTTTCTTCTACAATAGGGTATTTGCTGTCCCTGTGGCTACGGAAGAAACGGTATACTGTTAGATTTTGATACTGATAAGATTTCTAGCACTGTCTGACAGGACATTATTATAAAAGTGCTAGAAAACCTGGGTTTGATAAAAATTCTGTGGATTAGTGTGAAATTGTTTGGATAGCTGCTTCTGAGATGTTCTAGGTGGTCCATTATAAAACCAGAAGAAGGTGTCAAGTGGAGTTCAGCAGGGAGTCTTTCCTGGGTCACCTTCTGTTTAATTGCTCAGCAGTGGCCACATGGAAGGTATTGATAAACTGAAGTCTGGGAAAGTTCACTAATACCTTGAAAAACAGGTCTAAAATCCAAAGGTAGCTTGCTGAATTGTAGACAATAGAACAAAATTGAGTAACAGCAAGGTATTACACATATACAGGCATCATTGACAACACTGAATGCAGAATAACTAGGAAATGAGCAGTTCTTCGTACAAGAAACAGAAGGGTTAGTGTAGATCAGAAGCCAATTATAATACGATAAGGCAT